GACCTTGGTTGCAACAATGATCTATATGGTCCCAGTTTATGTCAATAACGTCACAGGCCCCTCTCCATCATGCCCTTGGAGATTTTTTCAAAAGTTTTGGCATTTCGTCTTTTCGAATGAAGTTCTGCTAGCACTGAATCCTCTCCCCATATAGCGATCAGATCCAGTACCTCCCGTACGGTCCATGCTGGTGCTCTTTTTCGATTATCGGCCTGCATGGTTACTTGTGCTGATGAGCTCTGTGCTCACCTGTGGTCTCCACGCTGGGCAAACAGGAAATAAAATTCAAATGTTCGCGGGGCTTTTCCTGTCTACCTGGCCAGTGCATCCGAGTTCATATTGCTGTCCAGAGCGGTCACAATGGTGCACTGTGGGATAGCTCCCGGAGGTCAATACCATAGAATTGCGGCCACACTAACCCTAATTCGAAATGGCATATTGATTTTGGCGCTACTCCGCTCGTCGGGGAGGAGTACAGAAATAGATTTTAAGAGCCCTTTATTTCAAAATAAATGGCTTCGTTGTGTGGACGGGTGCAGGGTTAATTCGATTTAACGCTGCTAAATTCAAATTAAACTCATAGTGTAGACCAGGCCTGTATGTCAATACAGTCCAGAGGATTGGTGTTTTGCAGCCTTTTCACATAGTTTGTCAGCATTGGCTTTGCTGATCAGTCTGGCAAGCCAAGCTCCTCCACTTTTACTATAGAAATCTGTGCTATGCTCACCTTTTGAATACTGCGTGCAGTTCTGGTCGCCCCCTCTCAAAAAAGGTATACTGGAGTTGGAAAAGATAAAGAGAAGGGCAACTAAAATGATTAGGAGTATATAACCGTTTCTATATAAGGAGAGATTTAAAAGACTAATTTTTCAGCTTGGAAAAAGAGAGGACTAAGAGGGGATATGATAGAGGTCTATAAAATCTTGACTGGTGTGGAGAAAGGGAATAAGCTCCTTCACATAACACAAGAACTAAGGGTCACCCAATGAAATTAATAGGCATCAGGTTTAAAACAAACAAAAGGAAGTACTTCTTCACACAAAACAGTCAACCCATGAAACTTTTTGCCAGGGGTTGTTGTGAAGACCAAAACTATAACAGGGTTCAAAAAAGAACTCGATAAGTTCATGGCGGATATGTCCATCAATGGCTATTAACCATGCTTTGAGAGCCTCTGCTTGCCAGAAGCTGAGTGGATGACAGGGGATGGATCACTCAATAATTGCCTGTTCTGTTAATTCCCTTTGAAGCACCTGGCATTGGCCTCTGTCAGAAGACAGGATACTGGGCTAGATGGACCATTGGTCTGACCCAATATAGCCATTCTTATGTAAAAATAGATTGTAATATGATAAAAATATTACAGAAATTGCCCAAGATAACAACCTCTCGAGATAGTAACAATGTGAGATAATGACCTTGGCATATAATGCGTTTTAAAAATCTTAGCCTACTAAGAAATGTATATTTATGTAAAGTATCAGAGGGGTAGCCGTGTTAGTCTGGATCTGTAAAAAGCAACAGAGTCCTGTGGCACCTTTAAGACCATGTATTGGAGCATAAGCTTTCGTGGGTGAATACCCACTTCGTCAGGTGGGTATTCACCCACGAAAGCTTATGCTCCAATACATCTGTTAGTCTTAAAGGTGCCACAGGACTATTATATTTATGCAAGGTGCTCAGTCACAAATCTAGCATTTTGGAGCAAAGTCACTAAAACGTAGTCCCAAAAACATTTCTTTATAGTGCCCCTCCTTTCTCCCTCTACCGCACCCCACTCATAGTTGTTGTCCTTGGTCAGTGAAGACCCAGAGTTCAGAGCTGCTTTCGCATGAGTTCACCTCCCACCCTGGGAGGGTGCGGGGGAGAAGGCACCTTGCTCATTCCTCCAGCTGCTCGCCACTCTCCAGCCACTCACTCTGTCCGCTGTTTGTTGTGCCACCATTCACTCCGACGATGGCCCTGCTCTGTCACCCTCTGCTGCCACTGTCCTAAGTTTCCTGTAAGCTGCGCGGCTATGCAGCAACCTATTTAGCGCTATGCAGGCACTTAGGAAACCCGCCCTGGGACCTGCTGCGGCCAGAGGAGGGACACCCCTCCTCCAGCCCCAACCCACCCTGCCCAGACATGGGAAAAATTTGAGGGAAAACTGTGTTCCCGATAAGCTGTGCACTTGAGCAGCCACACAAGAGAAATTAAAGTGCTGCCCAGCCAATTAAGAGAAGGATGACCAGACAGCAAGTGTGAAAAATCGGAACAGGGGGTGGGGGGTAATAAGAGCCTATATAAGAAAAAGACTCAAAAATCAGGACTGTCCCTATAAAATCGGGACATGTGGTCACCCTAATTAAGAGAGCATGCACAGCTGGCAGCATGTGCTCAGGTGCCCCTCCCTACACATTGCTCCATCCTGCAGCTGCTCCCAGGACCATCCTGCTGGCTGTGCAGGGATGGGAGGAGGGTGCTGATGTCAGCGTGTCCCCCTCTCCCCAGCCCCTATAGCCCATCTCTACAGAGTAGGGGAGAGGTAGGGGACAGAGCCTGGCTCAGGACTCTGAGCTCCTGCAGGGAAGGGTGAGGGGTTGAGTGCCTTTATTAGAGACAGTTCGCTGTTTCAGAGATTTCCCCAGCAGCCAGCTCACTCTCTCTCTCTGTCTGTCACACACACACTCTTTCTCCTCCTCCCTCTGTCCACGTACCCTAATCTCTGCAGAGCTGGGGAGGGGAGACAACAGGGCTCAGGACAGAGCAGGCGAGCTTTCAGAGAGTGTCTTAAGGAGACAGAGCAGGGCATCTCAGAAACTCTCTCAGCAGCCAGCACAGATGCTGTCTGCGTCTCACACACAGTCTCTGTGACAGTCGCACACACTGTCACAACACAGCCTGTGTCAGTGTCACGCACTCTGTCACTCACACACACTGTCTCTATGTCACACTCACCTCCCAACACATACTTGTATTATTGTTGTTGGTACTTCTTGTTACCTCCTGCAAAGCACATATATTCTCTGTAATTTTATTCTTACAAAGTGTGTTATTTTATAGTGTTTTGACTGGTCTATGCATGTCAAGTTTTATTTCTCTTGCACTTAAATTTAATTCTTTGAGTAGTGAGTTCTAAAATGCCTAATCTGTCTTGGCTGGAGTAATTATCCCCATTTAACTTTTAAAAAAATATATATTATATCTAGGTTTTTTGTTTCTACGGGTGGCGCACAACCACACATACCTCCCTGCACATAACATTTATTCCAGACATGGATGGAAAAAAAATAGAGGGAACATTCACCCTGACCATTAGAAAGCTTTTTCTCATTTCCAGCCTGAATTTGTTCATGACTAGTTTATATCCATTTGTTCTTGTCCTAATAGTCCTTTAGCTTAACTAGCTCTTCACCCTTCCTGGCGTTTACCCCCAATGTGTTTAGAGAGAGCAATGAGATCCCCTTCCAGCCACCATTTTGCTAAGCTAAACAAGCCAAGCTCTTCCAGTCTCTTTTCATAAGACAGGCCCCTCCATTTTCCTGATCATCCTACTATCTCTTCTCTGCACCTGTTCCAGTTTTGAGTTTATCATTCTTGAACATGGGTGACCAGAACTGTACACAGTATTCCAAATGAGATCTTACCAGTAGCTTGTACAATAGCATTAATACTTCTCTATCTTCACTGGAAATGCCTTGCCTGATACATCCTAGGATCGCATTTGCCTTTTTTCTAGCCATGGCTCATAGTCATCCTGTGGTTAACCAACACATCCAGGCCTCTCTCCTCTTCTGTCATTTCCAAGTGACGAGTCTCCAGCTTGTAATAGAAATTCTTACTGTCAGACTTTGCACTTAGTGTTATAGAATTTCATCCCATGTGTATTACTCCAGTGTTCACAATCATCCAGATCTTCCTGTATAATATTTCGATCCTCCTCAGTATTCATGATGAGGATAGAAAGTTGGGAGGCAACAAATTTAATTAGCACATTCTCACTATCTGGGGAAAAAGACAGACCTGACACTGTAAGAGAGTGGTCCTGCTGGGTTCTGGGAAGTGGGCAGGCACAAACCCACCCATGGCTAAAGGCCCCTCCTCCAGCCTAAAGGGAGGATCTACTCAACCTGGGACACAAATGAGTACAGGGGACAACAAAAGAAAAAACAGGGATAGGTGTGACGGTCAAAGGGTCAAAATTAGGGAATCTGACGGGTACACAGAGCAGAGAGCCCCAGACAGGGCCCACTGCTCCTTGAATGTGTCAAGGGAGCCAGTGGATGTGGCTCAGAGGAACTCTGCCTGGATACGTGAATGGAGAGAGGAATAGAAGTAGGGCCCACAATTGCAAAGAACCCTTCAGCATAGAATTTAGTTTTGTTTTTTTAGAAATCTCAGAAAACTAGGATCCCTGATCACTACTAATCATTTTAGGGAAGTAGGAGTGAAGCCCACTGGAGCGGAATTTGGTGGAGGAGGAAAAGAAGAGAAGAATAGCAAGAGGCAACTGCATCTCTTACAGTAACAGGCCATTGTGACTCCTCTTGGCCATCTGCACTTCATGGCCACGCTCCCGCCCCTGCATCCCAGACAATGACCTCTAGCTATAGATCAGCTCAGACCCCATCAGCAGAGGCAATTTATTGTTGAAACACAAATGAAAGACACTCCCCATGTGACATTACAGAATACAAAAGACACAGAAAGCTCTGAAACCCACCCTGCCCAGAGAGTTTATCTTGGCACATTACCTATTCCCCTGCCTCACCCTGCCAACCACAGACTGCACATGTACTGCTCTGCTCGCAGACTGGAAGGATGGATATATTTGACATTTTTGCTAAGAGATATAAGTTGCAGTGTTTGCTAAAGGAACTGAAACCACCAGAGGAGTGGCCCGCCAATAGCATGGACACCCACTTCCTCAGCCAGTCAGCTCCCAAGAGAAGTTTTCTTCCCACAAAGCGACTTTTGGCCAGAGAGATTCTGCAGCTGCAAAATGTAGGCGTTCTACATGCACAGCTGGGAATGAGAGAGAGATTAAGGGGTGCAGGAGTATTTGACAGCTGCATGAATCTGTCTGCACAAAAATCACTGAATTCAACATGCTCATTTGCATTTTATCAATTTCCTCTGGAGTCACCCTGGAGCCATGCACTGAAGGCAGGGATATTGCATCTCAGAAACAAGCTGAAGTCCTGTCACCAATAAGAAGTAATGAAGAAATCAGATGTCTGACAGTCAACTCTGGCACAGCCGCACAATCTTCTCCAGGTCAGCTCCCCACCAGCCTTCTGCAGTTAGGTCAGAGTTTCGCCCTTTGTTACCTGCCAAAGGAGAGCACAGCCTGCAGTCACCAAGGGCTAGCCAGTCTGCCCACTCAGAGAAAGTTAATGAGTTCCCGTACACTGGGAATTGAGTAAAAGTCATCCCTCGCAGCAAGGCTGGGAAGGGCAGGAGTCCTCCCCAGGCCAGTGTCACCAATTCACCAAGATCTCAGTTCTCTCTCCAGCCGTGTTGGCCAAAACCAATGCCCCAATGTAAGTACTGCTGGGATGCCCACCAGAGCGTAGAGGGCAGGAGCTCCAGCACTATTGTTCAGGAGAAAGGCCTGCAACATCACCCCAAGGTAACAACTAGCAGAGCAGGGCTCTATGTGGGAGTCCCACACATCCCCCCCCCCCTTTGTAAAGAGCAGATTAGCTGGCAGGTGGTGCTGGGCACAGTGTTACTGCCTAGCTGGGGGTGGGGAGGACAGCAGGGCAATACCCACTGGAGATGGGGTAAAAGCCGCAGGGGGGCTTGAACAGCAAGGCCCCGGCTATCCCTGAGCTGCTAAGCGTGGGCTGAGCTCTGCACCGAGCTACTCGCAGGGCAACCCCTCCTCCTACGCCGGGGCTGTCTCCTGGTGTCACCTCCCCTGCTCTACCCCTCACCCTGGCCTCGATGTACTCGATCCGTCGCTCCAGCGCGGTCAGCTTCTCGTTAAGGGTGGCGAGCCGGGAGCGGCAGGACATGTCTGCGGGAGAAGGGTCGGGTCACGGGCTGCACCGGGCTCAGGCCCCGCGGTACCCGGCCAGGACAGGTGCCCCCCCGCCCCTCGGGGAGCTCCAACCCCAGAACCCGCCCGAACAGAGCGCGGTGGCCGGAGGGGCCAGGGTGGGGTGGAGCCGGACCTGGGAGGATGGAGGCTAGAGCCGGGCCGGAGGGTCGAACTGGGGAGGGTGGCCGGCTCCACCTTCGTCCCCAGCACGGACCTTACTGGGGAGATAGGGGATGGAGTCGAGGGGTGAAGGTGGAGCCGGGCCAAGTCTGGGGGTAGAGCCGGCCGGGGGAACCGGAGGGAGGAGG